CGGCAATGGAAGCGGCATCACAGGTTGAGCGCATTGTATCATTAGCGTGGCATGTATATCATGGAGTTTGTGTCCCTGCGGAACCTCACATCAGAATCGGCGAGCTATCGGGATCAAGTGATACATACTTCGGCGTTTTTTTATGACATGAGCTCCTACTACGATCATGTGTGTGAGGCTCCTCCGCACGTGTGTGCAGCCCACTGGTTTCAGCATGATCTGTCTCACGGCTACTTGCAACATGTATCGTTCGCAGAGGTTCTTCATTATGAATGGCTACGCCCCGCCATCACTGTTCCCAGGCGGAAGCATTATTGCTGGGGGTCCCTGGGCGACCCTCCTTGTCCAGGTGTATTCGCATGATCCCGTGACGATCTTTGTTGAGAATCATAGGTTGTCTGATCTTCATCTTCTCATCGCTGATTGGATGAACATGAAAATTGGTCCTGATAGGAGTGCCTTGATTAACAGAACTGTGACCAGTATTGTTAGAAGATTACCTGGCTAATTGAAGAAGACCTCGGTTGCCAACTTGTCCCCAAGAAGTCGGCCGTTGTGGCCAATTCTGGCTCCCTTCGCAGTGACCTAACGAAGGCTACGGGCAAGTTCGCGGGCACCTCCAACTTGCGCTCCGCAAAGAATATCGGCATTGATACTGCAGCCGGGCAGTTTCGATGTTGCAAGGGGGCCCGAGTCAACTTCACACATCGCATCAGGAATATTCGAGTTTGAAAGCGGCGTTTGGCGGTTGCCAAGAAGGGATGTGCCAACATGCAGCGACTCTACAGCAGTGGGTTGCAGAGTTATGGGGATTACGGGGTGGAGGTGGTGGGCTTGGATAGGATGGAAGCGTTTTCTGACCCATTCTTCGTCCTGCAGACGGTGGGTTCGATTTGTCCCCCCCGCTCCCGAACTTCGACTCTGCTTCATCATGATGGCTCCACCCACATGCTGGCGTTGGGACCTGCTCACGTGGGCCAATTTGGTTTGAGAGGCAACTACGTCCAGAGATTTTGAGCCTTCTCTTGCTGGGCTGCGTGGACTTGCTGAGCCAGTGCTCCATCAAGGGCTCAGGGCCTGGAGCCAGGTGAAAGGGCCATTGGTGGCTGATGTGCTGTCCCTGGCCCGTGTTTCCTGGTCCTTCAAGACCCCGTTCGTCTGGGTCAATCACCTCGGGGGCGAAATCTGCTTCACCACCACACCCGCCAAATTGTTCTCGGGTTTGAAGGCTGGTTGGGTGAGACAGCTCTCCGAGGGAGCTGCCCGGAGAATCGGGCTGGAGGGTGACAGGGTGGACATGTCTGTTGCTAGGGGCCTTCTGTCTTCTGACGCCATAAGTGCGGCCGAGAAGCGAATTTGGGAATGTGTTCTTCTGCAGTGCGTCCACACCAAGTGGCGTCTCGTGCAAATGGGGCACGTTATTCCTGATTCGTCTTGTCCGCTGTGCGGTGTTGTATCTGATGGTTTGCATCACCGCCTGTTCCCCTGCCCCTGCACGGGTGCGCTGCGAGATGAGTTTTTGTTCACTGATTTGCTTAATGATGTAGTTATCAGTGGTGGTGGTAAGTGCCTCTTGATGTTATGCTTCCAACTTCAGCCAGAGAGCATATGTTGTCCACCTGACGGTTTCGGGCATGATCAGTACGAATTCCACTGCGTGGATCTTGGCGCTATTGTCCGTGAAGCCGTTAAAGGAAACATGTTGTTTCTGGGATGGGTTTTGTGTCAAGCAAGGGCATCGGGTACACCATTGTGCTGAGTGGGCTTGTGTGTGTATCGCGGCTCATGGTGAGGTGCATGCCTTGATCTATGGTGAAGTAAGGTCGGTTCCTTCCTCAGACCAGCCTGGCCGCTGAGCATGTAGTTTTCTTGGCTTCGCGCAGGCATGCACCTTATACCACCGAGTGTTGCACCGATTGCGAGGGTCTTGTGGGTACTACAGAGAAGGCTCCTGAGGCTGTCGTTGATCGAAGGTCCCACTGCGCCGGAGTGAAGCTTCTTGGGGTTGGTACCTTACTCAGACAGGCCGCGCTAGCAGCTACGAGTCTGTAAAGTGAAAGCCAACGTTGATCTGGACAGCCTCACTCCATACAGGGAGGAGTGGTACCAGGCTAAAGGAAACCACTGGGCCGATTTACTTGCCAAATCGGCGGCGCTTTCGCGTTCGCGCCCTTCGGCTGCTGAGCTTGACGAGTATTCTCGTGAGCGTGATGCATTGGCCCAGCACCTTCATGTAAGCCACTGCTGGAGTTCGCTGGCTCCCCCTCGACCGAAGGAGCGGTTGGCAAGGGGGGGGGGGGGCAGCTGCGGGGAGAGTCCGTGCTGGTGCAGCAGCTGGACACGAGGTTTTGGGCGCGGTTGCAGGGCCCTCCCCCTTCAGTTTTTCGGCCGGATAACACCCCCTGCAATGTACCCAATTGAGGGAGGTGCCCAGAGGCAGTCGGTTCTCTACGAGCTGCGGGCATCCTGTGGAGACCTCCAGCAGTTCCACGTCCAATTGCGGAGCGTCCCCAGAGGCCGCCAGGGCTGTGGCTCTGTGAGGCTCTGCCCGCCCCTGCCCCTCCCCCTGCCCCTCCCCCTGTTCCTTGTCCTGACATCGGCCCTGCTGTGCCCGCTGGTCTCACTATCGGAGAGCACAGCTGGGTGTGGACGCAGTCCAGGCGGGTCTGTCGAGTCTGCCTGAGGCGCAGCCTGCGGGGCCCTCCCCTGCCCACCCCTGCTTGCAGGCAGGCTCACCCCGAGCTCCCTGCTCTATTTGCGAACCCGCGCTCCCACCACATGTACGTGACCCAATACCCTGGACGGAGTGATCTTCATCTGCATGGCTTGTGAGTGCAAGACCGGATCAAGACGGCTTCACAAGCTCGGAGAATAATGCCTTGGGCGGCGCAGCAGCGACCACCTCAAGTCTAATCTAAAGCGGGTGCGGTGGGCAAGCATCCTTCGTACGCTAAGGGCAATAATATTGTCCTCGATGAGTTCACCCTTGGCTCCCAGCTGCTGGGTTGAAGTGCTAACCGCCAGCTGATCTGGTGACGTTAAACCGGCCGGCGGCGGCAGCCAGTGGATGTTTCTGGTTTGATGCATGCCGCCTGCTAGCCCCTGGGGCCCTGACTTGCACCACAGACGTTACCAATCCAATCCAGTCCACCTCCTCCTCCTCCTCCTCCTCCTCCTCCTCCTCCTCCTCCTCCGTTTTCAAGATGCAACTCTCGCCTCAGCGCCGTGCATATTCGTCTTGAACATGTGCAAGAGTTTCGCGGAGTAAAGGCAGGTCGTTTTCAACATGTGGCTCTCGCCTCAGCGCCGCGCACATTCGTTTGAAGAAATTTCAAGAGTTTCACGGATTGAGTGCGGGCCCTTAAGGGCGGACCGTTTTCAAAATGTGGCTCTAGCATTAGCGCCGCGCGCATTCGTTTTAATGATTTGCCAGAGCTTCACGGATTGAGGACGGGTAGTTTTCAACATGTGGCTTTCGTCTTAGAGCCGCGCCGCGCACATTCGTTCGAACAAATTGCAGGAGTTCCACTGCTTCTCATTGTCTACGTGCAAGAAATGACGTGGTTTGCAACGAATCATGGTTGTCAGGGCGCAACAGCCACGTTGATTCGGGGTAATGAAGTCACAGGGGTGGTGTTCTGACACGGTTCAGGATCGCCAAGGCCTGCCAGTCAGTCTAATTCGTGGCGCTGCAGTCCTGGAATTGTGTTCTGGCACGCCTCAGGGTTTTCACACGTTTGTTCCCCAACGGGCCAATTTCTCCAGTGGAAATGAATATGTGTAGGGGCCTCTGAACAGGGAACTTGCAGGGAAGGTGTATTCCAACATCGTTGATGAGTCTTTGGTTTGAGCTGCTCCTCTTCCTCCTCCTCCTCCTCCTCCTCCTCCTCCTCCTCCTCCTCCTCCTCTGTTCATTTCTCCTTATAGATAATTCCTCCTCGTCGGGCCCCGAGGTTGGTCGAACGGGCTGGCAGGGCGTTTGGCCCGAGCGTTCTTCGACACTTACGACCTTGAAGCTTAAAAACTGACTGCAGTTTCACCATGGAGGGCGAATGGTTTTCAAAATGTGGGTCTCGCCCCAGCGCCGCGCGCATTTTTTGAAAGAGCAGCAATAATTTCGCGGATTGAGGGCGGGTCGTTTTCAACATGTGGCGCTCGCATCACCGCCGCGCACACTCGTTTTTCTTTAAAAAGTTGCAAGGGTTTCACGGATATTGGGGGCGGGTGGTTTTCGAACTGTGGCTCTCGCTTCCGCGCCGCGCGCGTTCGTCTTAAAAGGTTGCAAGGGCTTCACGGATTGAGGGCCGGATGTTTTTAACATCAGATTTCGCTCTAGCGCCGCGCATGTTCTGTTAAAAAATCGCAAGAGTTTCTCTAATTTAGGGCGGTCCTTTTTCAAAATGTGGCTCTCGCCTTAGCGCCGCTCAGATATGTTCTTAAAGTTCGCAAGAGCATCACCGATTGAGGGCGGTTCCTTTTTAACATGTGGTTTTCGCCTTAGCGCCGCGCACACTTGCTCTAAACATTCGCAAGAGTTTCATTGATCCTCATGGTTGACATACGAGATTGACCGATCTATGATTGTCAGGGCGCGCCGGTTACGTTGATTCGCTGCTTTGACTTCCCGAGAACGGTGTTGTGGCACGACTCATGATTGCCAAGTCTTCATAATCACGTTAATTCGTGGCGTTGAAATTTTGAGAACGGTTTTTTGGCGCGCTTCAGGATTGTTGCACGGTTGGCCCCCCAACGGGGCAATTCCCTCAATGGAAGTGAACCCTTTGTAGGGGCCTATGCAGAGGGAGCTTGGAGAGAGGGAGTATACTAATATCGTTGATGCGTCTTCGGTTCCATTGGTCCTCCTTCGCCTCCTCCTCCCTTCCTCCCCGTGCTCCTCCTCCTCCGGCTCTTGCTTCTGCACCGATGCCCCGACCGACAGAGCCCACGCAGCCTCGGCTTCTCTGGCTTTCAAGCTTGTTTCCAACCACCGCTTCTTTCAGCGTGCTATCCATTCATCCACCCGTCCGCCACATGCCTTGTCCACGTCATCATCTTTCTCCTCGGTTGGCGCGGGCGCGCGCGTTCATTTCCGCACCAGGGCCCTGGTTTGGCCGCCGCTCTTGGTCTCGGCCGTGACGGCCTTGGTGCATGGCAGGGCACGAGGCTCGGGCGCTCGTTTTCGCCCGCCGTGCGCCTCCTGTCAGCTCCCTCTCTCGCAGCTGCCGCTCCTCCGAGAGATCCGCTCTCCCTCTCTCGCCGGTGCTGCCGTGTGCTCCTCCTCCGGATCCGTGCCGTGCTCAAGGCTTGCGCGTGCTCAGGCTCGTGGGTCGGCTCGGAGGGCCGTCGAGTCGGCTCGGAGAGTCGCGAGTCTCAAGGACAAGGCTCCCTGTGGACTCACGCTGAGTGCCTGGCACCAGCCGCCTCGTCGGTGCCCTCGTCAACGGCACGGTGGTGGTCGTTCGCCAGCGGCGTCTCCGCCCTGTTCGTGTTGGTTTCACTCGAGGCCTGCTGTTCTCTTTATATCGGGGCATGAACAAAGCATCGCCCTGATTAGTGACGCACTTGTCTCGGGTTTATTTGGCCGAGGGCTGGGGAGGGATGGGTGAAAACATGGCAGGAAGAGAACACTGACCAAGGAGCACCGAAAAGGGAAGTGCAGGGAGACTGGCGAGGGTTTTTTGTCTGTGTGCGACGGTGGGCGGCGGGGAAGTGGATTCGAACACGTTTTTTGTTCTTTGGGCAAAATGGGCGGGATGGTACGCGGCCGCAACTTGTATCCCAGAACGTCGAATATTAGAGCACCTAATATTTTTACCGGTCGTAGACGAAGAGCTCGTTGAGCATATCGGGACCGTGCAGCAAGTGTCAGACTTGTTTGCATGCCGAGTTGGTTAGGCGATGTTGCAGGCCGCATGGCATTTGTCAGGCGCGCACTGTCCTTGCAGTTCCCTGCTCCCCGCCGGTGGCCGACAAGGTTTCACCCTGACCTTTGTGTGAATGTGTGTGCTCGTGTGCTTGGTTTGCTGGCCCCTCTGGGGGATAAAAGGCGCCGACTGTCCATTCCTCATCGTCTTGACTTACGTCAGGATGCAACTCCTGGACGATTAAAACGAGCATCGGCGCTGGTATATCCGCGGTCGAAAACCAGCATACATTTTACCGAGTCCTGTTCAATCCCACTTAATCCGGCTCATCCCGGGTTTATTTGGTTCAATCAGGCGTCATGGCCCTTTAATCGGGTTTAGTAGCCCTTAATCGCTTGTTCTTTCGAAGATCTCCCAGGCGTTGCATCCCAGCTTCCTGTATAGATATCGTGCTTCCACTTCTGGGGTATCTTCGGCCTGTGTGTGTGAGATCTGGCCTCCTGCTGGTGAAAAGGCAAAGCTGTGCTGTCGCAGGTATGCCTGCCTTTCGGCGTCTTCAGGGCTCTCATTGAGCCTGACACCTGCGCATGTCGACCAAATCATCACAATGCCAACAGCCGCATTGCCCCAGCAAATCACCCTAATAGGAGTAAAGGTGAAGAGGCGGGTCAAGGAGTGAGGTCGGCGAGTGAAACGCGCATTCCTAGGTATTCCCAGGATTCCTAGGACATGCATGGTCATGTGCACCACCTTAGATTGCGAAGGCCTTGCGGCTGGTGCCGCCGACCCTGAAGAGGGACGACGACGACGACGACGACGACGACGACGGCGACGGCGACGGCGACGGCGACGAAGACGGCGACGGCGACGGCGACGGCGACGGCGACGGCGGCGGCGACGGCGACGGCGACGGCGACGACGACGACGACTACGACGCTAACGTAATCAGAGTTCTCAGGGATGCTTCTTCGGGTCTCTTCGGAACGCTCTCGGGGGCCTCTGGGGGGCAGTTTGGGAGCCTCTTGGTAGCCACTTCGGGGCCTTCCGGGAGCCTCTTGGGGGCCTTTTGGGGCCTTCAAGGGGCCGTCTTGGGGGCCTTTTTGTCCGTCGCGGGGCGATCTTAGGTGCGTCTTGGGCCGTCTTGCAGCGCCGGGAAATCGAAAAGGCGAGAACGCCAAAATCTGACAAAAATCGATTGAAAATCAACGAAGTGTGCCTCGTGGGGCCCTGGGAGTGCTCTTGGAGGCCTCTTGGAGGCCTCTTGGGCTGTCTTGGGCGTCTTGGACCGATGATTCGACGATTCGAGGCACCCTTGTCCCGTCTTGGGGCTGTGGGTCTGGGACCCCCAGAGGGATGGTATTCTGACCCAGGACCCCCCTCGTTAACCCCTCTCCGGGGACCCCCCCCCGTGATCTCCCCCGGGCAGGGAAGGGATCAAAAGGAAGGGATTCCTTTCGACTTAACCGCTACGTTCTTCAATTCCCTTGTTCCTTCATTCCCTTGGGTCTGACGACGACGATGACGAAAACGGAAAAGCATCTCACACGCGCCAAAGGGTCGACGAACTGTTTACAAGGGGTCGTGGCCGTCCAGACCAAAAGTGTAGTCGGCACTCCGGCGTTGGCGTGAATTCCGACACGGCACCGCACCACCAAAAGAGACACGCACCACAGCTCTCAGAGGGAGGGCGGGGAGAGGAGGAGGAGGGCAGCTGGGGGAAGAGGGAGGAGGAAGAGGGCGGGAAGAGGAGGAAGAGGAGGAACAGGGCAGCTGGGGGACTCCGGCATGACTGGTGGGGAAGTCTCCGGCGAGGCGGCTGCCGGACTGGGCGGCCTCGGGCTCCCCGTTCCCCTTCGTGGAGCTCTCCCTGCGGTCCAGCGAAGCGCTGCCAGGGAACGGTCCGGAGCAGTGCTGCACCGTAACTTCTGGGCAGTGCTGGGCATCACTCGGAGACGCCCTCCTTCGCGCGGCATGCCGCCCCGCCTCGCGCGAAGACGGCGGCGCGCCGCACCGCGCCGCCGCTCCACGCGCGCCCACCTCCCGCCGCTTCACGCACGCAGCCTGCCCGCGAGAGGGGAACAGGGGAGGGGGTACCCGAGTCTTCGTACCTCCTCCTCCTTCTCCGTGCTCGCGTCGAAAAACGCGACGGGAGTTTGTTGGTCAATTTTTTGCCTCCAGGGGCCTTCGTCAGGCCTCGGGACCGCCGAAAACAAGCAATGATGAAAAAATGCGGACCTGGGGAAAAGGTCGGACCGCGCATTGAACCACGCAAAATATCGCATGTCTGGGCCCGTGCATCCAATAAGCAAAAATGTCGTAAACACATGTTTTCTGCGCTCCGCGCGGATCTCTTGGATCGGCGCTGGAGCCCCCTGGTGGTGCCTCCAGCGCCAATGGCACGCTCCGCGCGCCAGGGAGGGGGGCCCAGCGCCGATCCAAGAAGTCCGCGCGGTTACTCGACAGTTTGTGTTTATCCAGTTGTTTGTTCCTCGAGTGTAGGCGCTCAGTGATTACCTTCTTCGGACAGCCAGGCACCTGCTCCACATCAGACGCCAAGCTCTCGGGCCAGCCACGTTTCGCGATGCTGCGCGGGTCGTAGGCCACCCGGCAGGCCCAGCGAACAAGTACCAGGCGGCATCCCAGGCACTTCCTTGAAGCCCGATGCATCCCGCCACTCCCCTCGCCTTGTCTCCCCCGCCTTGCCCGATGCCCGCCAACCCCCAGCCCTGACTCCAGATCCGCTGTAATTTTGAAGGCTTCGTGAGCAGGGCTGAGGTTTCCACTCTACGGTGGGGGCGTTGGTTAAGGAATGTGCCCAGGAGGCTTCAGACCCTGGAGGGTTCCTTACGTGATGAGGGCGGCGGTGGTATCCATGGCCAATTCACAGCGGTACCCAGACCCTGGATTCCTTCTCTGAGGATTCCTGATACAATCCCCTCACCGAATTGTTCGAGCTCCGTCGATGTCGATTTCCGCCTCACTTTGCCCTCGTTGTTTCCGCCATCCCCTTGCGGACATCTTCGCCTTGGTTTTCTGAGGTGGAAATCTCCGCCCTGCCTTTTCGCACCGTTCGGGCTGCATTTCCGACACGCTTATACACACCCGTCGTTGAAAGTAGGGTATGTTTGGATCCCCGAATCCCAATCTACTTTAAGCGCCTTCCTACTTCAAGAACGGCTATAGTTAGATGTTTTTGGGGGGACTGGGGCAAACCCAATCTATTTCTAGGGCTTGGTTGTCACCTCCTTCATGGGCGACGTTGGTTGTTTATGGTGGTTTTGGTTTGCCCGTCTGTTGTTTTGGTTTGTCTGGCTGCTTTCGGTTGTTTTGGCTTGTTTTCGCTGTTCCGTCGGTTGCCCCAGGCTCGTCGGCCGCCCCTCGGTCGCCCGGCCCCTCGCCTGGCCCCCGTCCTTGGCTGGTTTTGTTTGTGTTTTTGCTTGTTGGCGCTTGTCCGTCGGCTGCACTGGTCGCCCCAGGCTCGTCTGCCGCCCCTCGGTCGCTCGGGCCCGAGAAGCAACCAAATGAACCAAAGTACGGCGGATCCGAGATCAGGGTCTCCTCGCCATCTCTCCCCCGCCTGGCCCGCTGCCCGCTCCCCTCCAGGAGCGACTGCCCCATTCGAGGGGCCACGGACCTTACGACGACGACGACGACGACGACGACGACGACGAGGACGACGACGACGACGACGACGACGACGACGACGACGACGACGACGACGACGACGGCGGCGACGACGACGACGACGACGACGACGGCGACGGTGACGACGACGACGACGAGGAGGGCGCCGAGAGCGACGACGACGGGGACGAGAATGACGAGGACGACGAGGACGGCGAAGACGATGACGTTCAGGACGAGAACGACGACGACGACGACGATGAGGACAACCGCGACGACGACGCCGCTGGCGGCGGCGACGACGACTACGAGGACGACGAGGGCAACGTCGACGGCGACGACGAGGACAACGTCGCCGGGGACGACGAGGACAACGAGAGCAACGACGACGATGACCAAGACGACGACGGCGACGACGAGGGCAGTGTCGACGTCGACGACGATGGTGACGACGTCGATGACGAGGACGGCGAAGAGGACGACGAGGGCGACGACGACGACTACGACGACGACGACGAGGACGACGACGACAACGACGATGACGACAACGACGACGACGACGACGAGGGCAACGTCGACGACAACGAAGACGTCGACAACGACGATGACAAGGACGACGATGACAACGATGATGACGGTGGCGGCGGCGATTACGACGACGGCGATGGCAACGAGGATAACAACAACGACGATGGCGTCGGACGACGACGACCACGACGACGACGGCGACGACGGAAGGCGACGACGATGGCGACGACTACGATGACGACGAGGACGACGACGATGGCGACGACGACGACGAGGACGACGAGGGCAACGTCGACGACGACGGCGACGGCTATAACTGACACGACGACGCGAGGACGATGACGACGACGACGACGAGTGCAACGACAACGGCGACGAGGACGACGACGACGAGGGTGACGACGACGACAAAGACGGCAACGCCGAGGACGATGGCGACGACGACGACGACGATGACGATGTCGACGATGACGACGGCGGCGGCGATTACGACGACGACGAGAATGGCGACGAGGACGATGACGACAAGGGCGACGACGACGACCACCACGACGATGATGACGAGGACGACGACGACG